AACATCTCATTTTACTCTCTCTGTTAGGTCCAGCTGTAAATTTTTAATCAGGCCACAAGCAGTGTTGGAGGGGCTGTGTATGTAGTTCTACAGGATTACTTTCCTCAGGGACCAAAAAAACCCTAAGAAAACAGCAAAACTGAGTAAAACAGATTAAAAAAAACCTCAAACAGTTAAAAGAAATTCTATGCTTCTTAATTTCAACAGATATTTGAAAAATAAAAACCAGGCAGAAACCTAAAGATGAAAACAGGTGTTTTTTTTTTTTTGTGTGTGTGGTTTATATTTGCAGAAAAACCTTCTGATTTCCACTGTAATCAGTATTTTTCAACTAAATGAAAATTTACAAGTAGAGTCACAAAATCCACTCATCTTCTTATAGCTGTGATGATGGAAAGTAACTGAATGCTGTAAAAAGGTATTGAGATATGTTCTGCTGCAATGAAATGGGCAGCTAAACTATGTCACAGTTTCTTAAAATGACCTTCTTTGATTTTGTTTTAATGGATATTTACTTTTCTAGAAACATCTTTCAGTGATACTTCTTGGCATAAAGTTTCCAGTTATCTCATGTATATACATTAATCTATGTTCACAACCCCCTTGAGAAAGAAGTTGCATTATTTCTGTTATGTCTTTGGCTTACAAAAAACACACAGAAGGCAGCCTCCAGTTTATTGTAGATCGTGCCAAAAGTGATTTTAGAAAGATCACAAAGAACGGCTACAGAAAAACTCACTTTATCCAAATTTTGGCTGCTATATCAATTTCCTTTTAGTCTGATGATGAACGGTAGACACATGAAAAAAAATACTTTATTTGTTAAAAAAAAAAAAAAGAAGCCCTAAAATAGCAGGCGAACTGAAAAGAGAAATGGATTTTATCTGTCTCTCAAGGGAGAGAGAAATTGGTCTGGAAATTCATTGAAGAGAAATGAGTGAGTTATTTTGCTGACTGTGAGTGGTAGGCAACAATGTAATGCAGTAAGGGAAGGCCAGGTTTGAATAGATAGAAAATTAATCTTCAGCCACTATCTCCCGTGGGATTTTCCTATGCCAGTATTGATTGCATTTCAGCTCCTGACTTGGGACAGAAATTGGTTGGAGTTGGATTTTAATTGTATTCACATGCTGGATCACTTTCCTTCAAAATATTTGTTTTGCTACTTTCCTGAAAACAAAGTTTAACTGGGTATTTAAACTGCACCAACTGACACCACAATCTGTCAGGCTTTTCATAGAAATGCCAGACTAAAATAATTAATAATATTGAGGTTTTTCTTTTTAAACATTCCCCCCCCCCTTTTTTTTTTTCAATGTAAACTACTTGAAATTCATAAGTTTGACAAATAAAAACTGTTTAGATTTAATTTCTATAGGGGGATGCACTATAAATTTGGATGTGTAAGGCCTGGCACAGCATTGGTCTTGCTGGTCAGGAGGTATTGACCCAAGTGAGTTCAACAATAATTTACATAAAATGTTTCTGATACTTACCTGTTGTGTGCAGAACTAGTTAAGACACCCTTAGATTTAATAGAACAAAATGTTCCTGTGTAAGGGAAACTTTGTAATTTTTAAAGGATTTTGTCATTTGATGTCTGGGTTTTGGGAGAGATTGATGCCTTGTTTCAATATCAGAGCTGTACATCACAAAATACTCCCAGGAGAAGTCAGCAAGAGGAATGTGGAAGCTAAATTAGTTTATGTGAATATAGATCCACTGCCCTGCATTAATAAGCTGAGAAGATTTTTTAGATTAATGTTTTTTGTTTTGTATCATGGAATATTGGTATGAAGAATAACAGACCATGTCTTTATCACAGCCTTTTTTAGGGGGACCTGGGCATGTGTGCTGTTTGAAATGTGAGAAGTAGATTTTATGTTTGAAAGTGTAAGACATTCAGGTCTATTAACTAAATTCTTTAATTTTTAACAAAGTTTAATCAAATTTTGGCTGGAGACTTGAATCATCTTTCACAGCATATGAGTGAATGGAGAGACTGAAAGGTTGCATTTCTTAATGGGAATGAAATTGAAATATCAAAAGGAAGAAACATGATATTTTTACGTTCAGAGGCTTCAGGAATTTAAGGCAAAAATCTAAATATATTGTAATACAAAAACTTCTGTGCAAGACCTGCTAGGATGGACCATATGGCACATGGTGTGATTTGTGGGACTGTCTTTTGCAGGACAAGGAGTTGAATTCTGATGATCCTCTTCAGTCCCTTCCAACTCAGGATATTCTATAATTGTGATTACCCCCTTTTTCTTTTACCGTACCCCTTCCCTCCCAAATATATCTTGTGGAAAATTAGTTGAAAGAAATCTTTTGACATTCACTCATTCTGGTGTTTTATTTTAAAAATGTGGCCTGATGATTCTCAGTTCTTTTCTGAATTGATCTGTAAAAGCACTGAGTTTGTAGTTGTGTAATTTCAGAAATAATAGAGTGTTAGGTTTTGTGGGTTTTTTTGAATCAAATTACTCAAATTACTCTCAGGCAGGAGGGGAATTTTGTCTCATGAATGATTGATTGTTGAGATAGCATTAGCAGAACTAGACAAACTCATTACTTTGAGCAGCATGAAGCTGAAAGATAACTTGTGAAGAGAACTCCAGAATTTGCCTAATGTTTAGCATTCCAGTTCTGAGGAGAGAAAAAGTCCTGTGTGAAAACATAGACAAAAACAACAGCAGCAACAACAAAAGCTAAACCAAACCAACCTTCTTCCCACAAAAAATCAACAAAACAAAACAAAAAGGCCCCACCACTCCAAACAACACCCCCCCATTAAAAACCTAGACAAATGAGCAAAAAGAACAAAAATAAAACCTTTGAAAAAATTACATTGTCTGAAGCTATCGTAATGCATATATTTCAAATCATATAATGTATAAACTGTACTAATCCTTGCTCCAGTTTGCACACTTCAGAGTAAGGTATAATGGTTGTGGGGGATTGACCTGGACTGCTGCCAGTTGCCCACCAGGTCCTCTATCACACTCTTCTCTATCACAGCCCCACCCCCTCAGGGAGAAAATAAGACCACAAAAGGTTTGTGGATCAAGATAAAGGCAGTTTAATAAAGAAAAGCAAAGGCCACACATTCAAGCAATAGAAAACAAAAAGATCTGCTCCTTACTTCCCACCAACAGGTGATGTCCAGACACTTCCTGGGGAGTAGGGCCTTAATGATGAATGCTTGCCTCCCCTCCTCCTTTCTCTTAGTTTATATTGCTGAGCACAACATCCTTAGGTGTGGAATACAGTTTTAGTCAGCTTGGGTCAGCTATCCTGGCTATGTCCCCTCCCAGTCTCTTGCCCACCCCTAGAGTGGCGTTAGGTACTAAGTTGAACTTCTTAGTGTAAGATATAGTAGCTGTGCTACCTAGAAGTAGCAAAAATTAGTACCTGCCTTCTTTTCTGCCAGAACCTTAATAGACTTGTGTTGTGAGATCCGTCTCACCTAATTCTAGACAGCTGTATTGCTGACTTCAGCATCTGAGTGATTTGCCTACAGCTACGTTTACAATCAGTCAAAAGTAGGAGGCACTTTTAAGCATGATTTATGTCATGGGAAAATAGTTATCTAATTAAGATAAGATAAATTATACTCCAAAAATGACCATTTCTTTTCATTGCCTAAGAAGGCAGCCTGGGATGATGAGCACAGCACTGCTATGTTGTTGAACACAGTGGATGTCTCTGGTTACATGAGCTCTGCCCTTTGTGTTTCCAAAGGAAACCATTTCCTTGAAACCAATCTGAGATTGCTGCTTACTTCAGGCAACATTTGAATCTATAATTAGTATAACATTTGTCTGTAACCCTGTGATGAAGCAGATGAGAAAACATAAGCAATTCATTAGATGGCTTTGTGGGTAAGTTAAAATTTAGCTGTCTATACTTTGATAGGGGATAATAATAAGCAGAATAGCTGCAGCACACACATGCCTGACTGACCAGCAGGTGCTCCATTGTCAGCGCTATCTATCAAGCATAACCCATTTTCAGAAACTGATGACTCTATAGTATTAAAAATATCCTAATAATTGCCTACAATTGCTGGCCTTTGTAACCATTCAGTATCATCGTTGATTTGTTATTGCTTTAAGTGGCAGTCTATGCATGTCATGGGACCTCCTATTCCAGCTGCAGCTGAGACAGGTGAAGACCTTGCCACCTCCTTCTGGGCCTTCTCTGCCTCCTTGGTTCCATAATCCATGTAATTTTTGTAAATGAGTTAGAAAAATCTCTGCTTTTCAAAATTTTTAAGAATTAGTCCAGATTGACTGAGTCAATCGGAAGGAATCAAGAAATGTGTATCAGGGTGCGGACAGGTAAGAGAGGATGGGAACCTAAGACAGAGAGGTGATGGTGAACACCTGATCATTTGGGGACATTTCCACTAAAGTAAATATAGCCAGTACATGAGATTTCATTGCGAATACAGACCAGTGAACAAATCCTAATTCATTCAGAAGTTCTAAGAAGTTCTAAGACTTAATTTCCTTTCTTTGTCTGAATTTACACCACAGTTTCTCAAAAATCCATTTATGAAATGTATACAAGTGGTATAATTTTTAGGTTTGTGATTTACTGTATAATCTGCAGAAGGAAAAAAATGAGATACAGTGTTTAGACTTAAGATTCAGTACAAATTATTGTATGTAATAAAAGGTAATGTACTTGCATTATGGTTGTAAAAATTACATACACTTATGAAAAATTTAGACATGTAAGGTGTTAGACTCTTACTTTTTTTTTGCAGGTCTTCGTTTCACTGAGTTTCATTGCATAAGTCAAAATTAAAACCAAACTATACAAAAATATTCCTTGATCTGGAACAACTAATTGTGTTTATACACAAATACAAAATCTTAGCAATGAAAGAAAGGCTATGAATCGTTTAGATAAAAAGAGGCAAATGTGAATGGAATTGTTTGTAGCATACTTTGTAATATTCTGCCCTTTACATGTCTTTCTTTAAAAAGCCTGAAAAGAATGACACTGAATCTGGCAGCCAGAGAATCAGACCGGTATTTGAAGATGATCCTGTTTTCCGACGGCAAACGTCTTACCAACATGCAGCAGTCCACATACCAACAGATATTTATGAAGGCTGTAAGTAGCACGTGAACAAAGTGATCTTGTATTTTAATACTAAGCTGATTAGTTGTGTCCCATTCTTAAAAGAAATAACCTCCAAACTAAATTTTGCCCTCATTCTTAGTACGGGATTGCTGTTGCTGTCACTTTTACTTCTTTCACTAATACTTCAGAGATGTGTTTTGTTAGACATACAATTCATTTTATGAATTAGTAGGAGCTACAGTTAAAGAGATCTGTTGGGATTGGATCTGAGTTTCACAAATGGAACTGGAGATGAAATATTAATATCTTAAATATTCTAATTTTCTGATCCATTCTTCCTCTATGCTCTTCTCGTTTCAAATAAACAATTCTTGACAGCTCTTATTTATGTGCTGTTTGGCCTCAGGCAGAGATGAGTTCTGAAAACATTTTTGAGTATCCCAAAATCTGATACAGTTCAGGTATATGTCATGCTGCATGAGATAATAGTACCAATATTGCATGCAGAGCATTTCTAGAATTGCAGTAACAGACTTAAGCAGAGAATTTGCATAAAGTCTTTCTAAACTATGCAAAAAAATGCATATTCTGCTAAGGATTCATTAGTTGTATTTCAAAATTAAGTATTTATCTTTCAAGATGTAAATAAGTTCCTTTTCCTGCATTCATCATCAAACAAAAATCTTCATATAATGAGAAGACATTTCTACATTCAAAGTGGCTGTATGTTTTTAAAAATGGGGAAGGAAAATTAAATAGGATCCATATATTTTTAAGTTTTGGTGTTTTGTTTTTTTTTCCCAATTTAGGGTCCTAATTTCTAGTATGCGGTCATTTTATTCTTTCAAAGTCTCATCAAGAGGAAAGAGACCCTAGTGTGACCCTGAGCTTTTTAAAATTCATGGCCACAGTTGCGTGCGGCTTCCATAAATGACACAGGGATGAAAATGGAAATGTCACTATGATAGGGGAAAGATTCGTGGTAACTCATATTCTTACATGGTGTGCTTGACTGACAGACCTAGAGGATTAGTCTGGGATTCAGGCTTTAATAAGTGCTGAAGTGCACCTAAACTGCAGGATTACAGAGAACTCACATGCTCTTTCCTTTGGTTTTGTTTGAAGAGAATTGACACTATGCTGTTATGAAATGTTGTAAAACCTCATCTCGCATTATTAGGATATTTATAAACACCATGTGAACTTTGATTTAAGATTGTCATCCTAAAAGTATGTAAAATGTTTTGTTGTTACATTGAATTTAAGATTTTAGGTGGTATTCCTAAAGACACTTATATCCCTTAAAAATGCATGTTAGGTAGTGTTACTGTACAGCTTATAAACCTAAAAATGAAGACAGATTATGACTTCCATAGGAAAGGTGAAACTTTAGAATCTAATAAAATGAAAATAACAGGCAGAAATGTACATTTTTGGAGAGAGGCAACTGCATGTGCAATATATATGGTTCATAACTTTTATATTTTTTACCAGAGATGTGGAAGCCTAGAAAATTACCAGGAAGACTGTAATTCTATGTCAGAAAGGTCAACTAGTTGTGTGGCTGGGTACCTTTCAGTGACAGATGGAGCTTTCAAAGATAACAGCATGAGAATACCTCAAAATCACAGATTTCGTATCAATAGACACAAAGTGATCACCGGGTTTTATTTTATGGTTGCAAAGTTCATGTGTCACCTGAACACAGTGAGCAACTGGAATGTAGTCATTCAGGGATGTAGAATTAAGTTTTTGTCTTTTTATGATATAATCTACAAGAAATTTTTATAACCCTAGAAAGACTGATAACATATCTAGAACACTGTTTTCATTTTTCGTCCTGTTCACAAGAGCTAACCTGTCATTTCTTGATAAAGGTTTCAGTGTCCACTATACTAGGGAACAGTTGTACACTCTGAAAATAGCATCTGCAATTCCTTGTCTACATCACAGTGGTAGGGAGCATTTACAACACAGGTATGACAACAAATGCTTCTGAGAAACAGTGGAGGAAACACAGTTTACAACTTTTATTGCTTGGAAGGTTTTTTTTTGTTTTTTTTTACTGAATTACACCTTGGGAAGCAGATTTTATTTTTTGTCCTTTATTGTATATGGTTTGTAGGATGCCAAGAGAAACAAAGAATTGCTCTTTCGATCTCACAGAATAGTTTTCAATGGCTGAATATTTGACTTGCCTATTCTTCCTTGAGATTGGTTTTCACTTCTCTTGCCTCTTACAGTAGCAGGTTGTTGTCTCCAGGGGAGAGGGACAATTACTGTGAGAGCCACATGCAGTCTGAATTTTCATTTGGACCTGTCAATCACACTTTGTCATGTTAATTAATTTTTTTCTGTATGAAGCTGGGAATTTGAGATTCCCTGACTCTTAATCATAGAATCATAGAATTACTAAGGTTGGAAAAGACCTTTAAGATCATCAATATGTTATCTATTAAATCTTACTTTCCTGTTTGGGTTTCATTTTTATTGCAGTTATTACTTATGATTATGCATGATTTTTGAAATATGAATCAGATAACAAATTCCTTTCCATTTAGATTTTTGAAAATGGAAAAACAGTTTGGCTAGTAATTCTGTAATGGTCACTATCTATTTAAACTTGAAAACTAGTATGTACTATAGAATAATATTCTTTGGCTTCCTACATGTATAGTGATTCTCTTATTTTGAAATACAGTGATGAGTCTCTTGTAGAGTAGCACCTTATATTTCACCATAGAAATATATGATATATCGTTAAAAATATCCATTTGCTGCATCCAGGTTATTACTGTGTGGCTTATTTGATTTCAGAAAGAAATACTATGAAAGTTGCTTGTTTGGGTTTCTTTTCCTTCTCTGGGTCAGGTGCCAAAACCTATGCAGAGACAGGGGAAAGTCTAAGGAGTTAATTTATTTGCCTGTTAATGAGGATTGCAGTCCCACCACATGGGGAGGTCGATCCGAATAAAATAGACCCAAATCTGGCTTTTAATTCCGTATTTTTCAAGAGTCCCATTTAGGTTCTGATATAAAATCAATCTGTGACTGAAAACAGAACAGACCCTCAGGTTGTCTTTCTACCACATGCACAGGGAATTAGTCATGCATCTCCTATTAGCAATAGCAGAATTCTTATTTCTAAATCCTCGTTAAAACTGTACCATGCTTATCCCTAGGCAGAATATAGGATCTTCAAGCCAGGAGTAAGAGGAAATCCCTGGCACAAGGCAAGTGAGGGTAATCTTCCCAGTGGATAACACCACATACCCTCGCTGTCTGACATTCATAATGCTCCATCTTGCCCTAGGTGTCTGTCTGTTCTGGTGTAGGTTTCAGGAAAGGTGTTAGGCAGAGCACACAAACAAGGTTTTCTTTTTTCTGTGTAGTTATTCCTGCTTTAGTTCCTTAAAATCAGAAACGTTACTACTTGATTAGCATTCAAGAGTTGATTAAAGTGTCAGGTTGAAAGTAATGTGTCGTGAACATGACAACATCACTCTGAATATGTTTGGACAGCTACCAGCAAGAAAAAAGGGCTTTCCCTGCTCAGAACGCATTAAACCAGTCATAAATTAAGTTACAATTAATTGATGGTTTATATAACTTAATAATCATCAAATATACATACTGTTTTTTCATACTCTCCTTCCACTTCTCCTTTCTACTGCTTAAAATGTTGTGTTTATCATATATTTTTTGGTAGCAAGTTTGACAGTGAACATAAATTTTGCCTTTTTAGTAGTGCCTCGCATATATGTAAATCAGTTATTGATAAAGTATTTTGACATAGTAGTACTTAGCACTGGCAGACAATCAAAACTTTTAGGAATAACTTGAAAAATTCAAGTTTGATGTTATAGTGATTTTTATCTTGACTGGAATAATATCTCTTTGACTGGGATTTTTAAAATATTGGAGAGTTTTATCCTGGATATGGCAGGCTATCAGCTTGAAAAGAAGAAATATTCTTTGGAAATAGTGATCTTGTGAAAGGTGATCCTGCCAATGGCAGAGGGGGTTGGTACTAGATGATTTTTAAGGTCCCTTCCAACCCAGACCATGCTATAATTCTACAGTCCTATGAAAAAAAAAAAAAATCCCTTAGAAAGGCTGGGAAATGAAACCATGAGAGTCAGAATATTCCTCCTCAAAAAAACCCAAATTCAAATAAACTAGGAAAAAGTGCATTATCCTTTATTCATGGAAAGTCTTATGTGTAGGTAATAAATAAGATTTATTCAGGAATCAAGATATTGATAAAGTGTTGTGTAAATATTTTGGTGTGCTACATCAGCATTCCTTAAATTAATAAAGAAGCAGCAAAACTTTTATGTGGTTTTTGTTGTTGTTTTTAGTTTAAATAACAGTTACAGACAGGCCAGACACTTTTGTTACTTTTAATTAAATTGGCTCAACGTATTTGAAGAGTAAGTATATTTTTTGTTATAGCGGAGAAACTGAAGCTTTTCATAACTATTTTTCTCCTGGTTTCTTAAAAAGGATAAATGAATAGCTCAGGTTTAATGCAGCTGAGATTGAAAAATGATTGTTTCAAATATCTGAGTTTGTGTGTGTTCACACCTTTAAATTTGGAAATAGACATTATTTATGTTTCATGCAGATGGCATGTGAGATTACTGTCTTCTATTTTTTTTTCACGTTCTCTGTTATTTTAATCAGTGAGTTATTTGTGAAAACATGAAGTGAGTGAAGTGGACCTTTAAATGAATTTTCAGTGTCAGCCTATTTTAAATACCAAACGCTATGGCCTGGGGTAACTATAAAGCAAATGTTAGTTGCAGTACTGCCTGGTTGGTTCAATAATAAACCTGGAAGCAAAATACTTACAGAACCTTAAGTAAAGAACTGTAGGGTCAGTATTGTTTTTATATTTTAACAATTGTAGTGTTTTTTGTTTGTTTGTTTATTTGTTTTCCCCCAAGTAGCTTGCTAAAGCTCTCTGAACTAAATTCTTACTTAAATAAGCAGCGAGAAGAAATAGCTTTTCTAAATTGATGAACAAG